CCAAACACGTTCTTGCTTCTAGGCCTTTGTACCTGCTTTTCCTTCTGCATGGAAGATTTACCTCACAGCTCATGTTCTCCCTGTCATTAAGGTCTCAGCTCAGATATCATATCAGAAAAGCCTTCCCTGAACACCCTTGTTATGAACTGAATTGTATCCCCATTAAATTGAAGCTCTAACCCTCAATATGACTGTATTTGGAAATAGGGCCTTTAAGGAGGTAATTAAGTTTGCATAATCATAGTGGCAGAGATCTAATCCAATATAGCTGGTGTTTTTATTGAAAAAGGAAGAGACGCCAGGAGAGCATGTGCACAGAGAAAAGACCATGTCAGGACTCAGAAAGAAGGCAGCCATCTACAAGCCAAGAAGAAAAGCCTTTCGGGAAAACAAACTTGTCTACATGTGATCTTGGACTTCCAGCCTCCAGAACTATGAGAAATAAATTTCTGTTGTGTAAGCCATCCAGTCTGTGATATTTTGCAATTGCAGTCCTAAGTAGCTAATACAGCCCTCACTCCAGTTGTTCTTGACAGCACTTTTAAGAATTTGAAATATTTTGCTAATTTGTTTACTTGTTTATGATCAAACTGTTCTTTCTTAATGGTAGAGACCTTGTCATTCATGCCCTAGACCAGTGGCTGATATTTGGAAGGTACTTAACAAATAACTGTTGGGCCCTAGTCGGTTTGGCCCTAGCCTGTTCTAGTGGTTAGAACATCAGCCCGCAGACGTAAGGGTCCCAGGAGTGGTCCAGCCAAGGCATGTATCTCGGTTGCAGGCTTGATTCCCCCCACCCGGGTCCCTTCCACTCTCTCTGAAAAGCAAGGGAAAATATCCTAGGCTGAAGATTAAAGAAAAAGAAAAATAAATAAATAAATAAATAAATAAATAAATAAATAAATAAATAAATAATTGTTAGACAAAGTGTCCAGGAGCCACAGTGGACTGGACATTGTGGATAACTGATGGTTATGAGATGCTAATCTCAGTTTTTTTCATATGCAGTAGATAGTTATTTTTAATTTCAGGAGGCATCGTATACTTTTTTTTCAGTCCAAGGGTTAAAAATCCAATGTTTATAGAAGTCAGGCAGGTATTATGAATGCTTATGGTATTATGGTATCTTGTACATAATAAAATAGAAAGTGGTGAGAGCTGTGGCAAACTGGAGAAAGCATTGCCCATCTAAAGACACCTGCTTCTCAGCTATTACCATGGGCCCAATGCTGCCAGATCTAATATTTAAAGAGAAGCCAAAAATCTAAATATTTATATGAAATCTTATGATTTTTAAAAATTGGCTACTAATACAAAGTTTTATAACACACAGCAGGCCCAAAACAACAATAATAAAAGGCAAAGTGTTTATAGGTAGGCAAGAGGCTAGACTAAGTGGTTCTCCTTTCACAAAGAGGTACCGCAGGCAGTGCCCAGGAGATGCTATGGTTTGTCCACACTGCAAACCCCCTCTCTTTTTTTTCTTTCACTCAACTTTTTCTCCACTCCACCCTTCCCCCAGCTCCCTTTATCTTTTTTCTTCCTGTCTTCTCTTTTGCTTTTGCCTCAGAACTGCTGATGTCTCTTATGAGTTCCTTGTACAAAAAAGTTTCTAAAAACTATTTGTTGTTTTTGATCAAGGAGACGGGGAATAAGAATGGGAGTGATACCCAAGGATAAAGACCCCACCCCTCAGAATTAAGAACATTGTTGAAATTGAAATCTATCACACAGAAGGGCTCGGTTCTCATCTTTGTGTGTGTATTTATATGACGATGAAGTACACAGTAAATTCTAGTTATCACTTATTAAGTAGCCACTGCATGTTAGAAATTGTAGAAAAATAATAGCTGACATTTATTGAATGTTCGCTCATCACCATGTGAGAAACTCTACACTCAATGGAATTCAAAGAGAGAGCAGATAACTCTTCTGTTTTCTTTCACAAATGAATTTCACAAAGGCAGATCCAGGAATTCAGAAACTGTAAATCATAAAGCAAGACCATATAGAATTTACTTTGGAAACGCTGGAGCCCCTGTCACTTTCCAATTGGAGTTTTCTGATTGTTTGTTTTTTGTTATTGACACCTCTGTAAATCTCTTGAAACAAGGCCTGTGTGTTTCTCTTTGGGGTTGATGAACTTGAGGGAAAGTTGTGAAGCTCAGTTTCCATTCTCGGCCTGGTTGCATCTTCACCAGGGAAGAGGTGATGCTTGGGAAGACCAGAGAAAGAGAACAGAGGCAAGAGACTAGAAAAGGGATCGGCTGAGGGGGAATAGTCTGAGGCCAAGGAGGACAGCCTGGGACTGGGGGGTGGAAACCCATACATGTTTTCCATTCGGTGAAAATAAAAATGGGACATTTTGAAAGTTCCAAAAAAAGATTGTTTCTTATTTTTATTACTATGTGAGTGATCCAGATGGATTGTTCTCATTTCACCACTACATCTTCCTGTTTGTTCCTAAAATTCCACCTAAATTCTCCACAGCTCTTCGAATCCTGAGGCTGGTGTTCTGGGACCTCTCTCTCCATAGAATAGCCCCTGTCTTTTCTTCTTTCACCTAGGCCTGGTGGAGAGCGACAGAAATCCTGATCTCCTATTGGTGGTGAAGGCCATGCATCCATGCTGGGTTCTCACCCTGACTTTCAGAGGGAAAGTCACTGCTGCACCTTTGTTTCCCCAACAGAATGACAGGCAGGTAGTCAGTGGGACTTCATTCCATAATATATAAATAAACAAATGAATGCTTCTGAAGAGGGTCTTTAAGTTTCACAGAAGAAGACTGTTCTTATGTTAGGTTAGCACATAACCCTGGGCTAGGAACACAAGGGCATCTAGCATAAATATGAGGTAAAGGGATTTCTGAGGAAGCTTGAGAAGGCCAACTAGAAGCTTCTCTCGCTTTGAATTCTCTGTTCCTTCTCCACCTTCCTCCTTCCCTTCTCCAGCCTTCCCACCTGAGATCCTATTCTCACCAGGCACTGGGCAGCTGTGAGAGTGAGAACTGGACCTGCAGCTCTGGACAAAGGGTGACTGAGGAGTGGGGTGAGGGAAGAAGGGGAGTCAGAGGCCCAGTTCACATCAGGGCTGCTATACCCTGCCTGGAGGGAAGGAGGGCTGCAGCCCTGGTCTGCTCAGGAGAGCAGGGCAGTGAACGGTCCCCTGTACAAGTCATTTAAGTGGCATTCTGAGAAGTTCTTCAGCCAATTTAGAATAGCAAGAGAATGATATTATGGACAAAAAACATAGTTCTCAAGTTTTTAATAATTTTTCTGTTTCTGAATGAGTACTAAAATTTCTCTTGAAGTTTAATTTGATTATTTTACTCAGTCAGGGAGACTACTTTGTTCTGAGAATTATCCCATTGGTTGAAACAGAAAATTAGGTTTTAAATGACACAGGATTTGTATAATATACATATTTTAATACATGCATTTATGTGCATATTATATATGTCTAAACATGGAGAGGAAGTAAGAATTGGGGTTCTATATGATTACATAAATATCTATGTGGGTACATACTTACATATTATTTGTAAAGGTATAATTATAGTATATTTCTTATTAGAAATTATGGCTCAGATTCCAAAGTACAAAGGCAATCTATCCTTGCCTGTGGACACAGAAGCAGGCTTACAATTTAGTTCATACACTTTTGTCCTCAGAATATTTACTTTTGAGGGAAAAAGTGTCAATTGCAAGTACTAGGGAGTTTCTTTTAAAATCAGGAGCTAATTTTGAATGGATTAGCATTTAATGGGTCAGTGGGACCAAATCTGTCACCTGACACTTTCTGGTATGAGAGAAATATGGCACCCAAACCACCGAGGTGAAACACTGACCTGAAAACAATTTTAACTTGAAAAAATATAAAAAATATGGATGCACACAATACATCTCAACAGCCTAAGAATAACTGTGTACTGGCAGAGAGCGGGAAATGGACTGAAAATTAACACTGAAGATACAAGTACATTGCCTTCATGTTATTGGTTAACCTCTTCATTTTGTAATCCTATGAAAATCCCATGAGCATTTTGAATTTTTCAAAATATTTTCTGTATTTTAATGTTCAAAGCAATAGATCATTTAGGACTCATATTCTTTAGCTAAAGGTTTGTCAGTGATTTTCCTTTACTGACAGTTAACTTTTAACCAAAGGTATTTCCCACCTTAGCTATTACAAGCTTTTAATAATATTGGTACAACCTTTTTCCCTTTCCCTAGACCCCTGTTATTATTGTATTTTTCCCCTGTTTTAGAACTTGAGCTTCTCTTCATAATAGTTTCATAGAAACCAATTCCTTTACTATTGCTGGATAATTTATAAATAGAACCTTAATATAAATTTAAACTGCTACACTATCAGTCCATATTATCTTCCAAATTTCAGCAAAGGGAGATTAATGTTAACCTAAACCCTTCTTAAAAGAAGTCATTTATCATTAAACATGATACTCGATGAATAATATTTAGTGTTCTAATTTAATTGCACTTTGCTACTGCATCTAGAACAACAATTTCAGTTTTTCTATACAGCTATACTCAGGATCTCTATTCTGGACTCCCTTCCAAAATTTTTGGAAAAACTCGTAATAAAAAACACACATATAGGTTCTGTTTTAATTTTTCCATTCATATTCGTTTTTACTTTCCATGAGGCAATCCAACAATGAAAAGCAATGTTAGTTAAAAATATTGCCTCTATAGGCCTGTCAAAGCTTGTCATTTAGCATACATTTGGAGGAGTGGTGGGAATGATACAGAAAGTGCTTAGATTTTTCTGTTTCTGAAATAATACTGGGAATCTCTACTCGTGCCTTAAATTCCTTATAATTTCTGGCTGCACGAGAACATATCTGTGAGCTTTTAAGTCTTCTTAGAAATAACAGACTTACTTTGGAAAATAAGCACTTAGGAAATGTTCAATCACTCATGACCACGTGTTAGTGCATTTTCCAAGGGCGACAGAGCAAATTAGAGAAAAATTCTTACCTCTGGAAGGACGTAAGACAATGCATATCACCAGTAAAGCAAGCACAGCAGAGGTGGCAATTCCAAATACAATTTTCAACCATGTCTACATAGAATTAAAAAGAATTAGATATACACACAGTTTCTGCTGAGTAGTAGAAAAGGCAAGATTTTGTTCACAGTTAAATCTTATTTCTCCTTCCCCACAAAACTTTTGTCTTCTGCTGGTCTGGCTATAATTGCTGGAATCTTTCCAGCTCCAGAAGGACAAATGTTTCTACAGTATATTTAGAACAATCTCTCAATCCCAACCCACTCCAGGAAGTACATACTTACGGACAAATCCTCACCTTCTAAACAACATAAAACACTGTTCGCACTCAATTCTGCCGGCCCGCACGTTAGCAGCACCTGAGTTTGCATATACTGACCTTCATTTCTCCAGATGTTTTTGAAAGTTAGCTAATTCTGACTTCAGAGCGTGGGTCACTGGATCTGTGAAAACCGTTGAAAGGAAGCAAGTCTGTCTTTGGAGTTGGAAGCCGAAGCTAGGACAAGGTTGTTGTTTTTTTTCTTTCCACGGACTTTTCGATACCGTGCCAAATTTCAAAAGATTTCTGTAAAATTAGAAACAGATTTTGGGGGCGTTCTTGGCCTTGAAATGAACCGTGAGTGGCTCAAGGGAGGTTTTGCAGCCTTGTCATCCTTGTAAATTCTACACCAACATCTGCTTACGTTGACATACAGAGGTTTGTAACCTTTTTTTTTTTTTTTTACAAGTTTAGTTTTGTTTCATTTTCCTCTAGAAATTTCTCACCGATGACTTTGGCAATTTCTTGGGTTTCATATAATCTTTCTATTTGCAACCAAAAGAAATATTCAAAATAATACAAACTTCCAGGTATGTACACTATACATATTCTAATTTTGAGGAGAGGGAGAAAGTTACAGCCATGTAAGATTTTGTGAGAAATGTAACTGCACTATTTTCTTCCTCTGAGACACTGTGAGGTACTGGAGACAGAAATGTTTTTCTTTCAGCACAATTTCTTTGTCCGTATAGCACCATATGCACTTTCAGTAAATACAGAAGTTTAAAAATTCAACTGTCTAAACCCAAGAACTGCTTTCCTTTAAAGAAATAAAATGCCATCTGGTGAAATTTAGTATGGGTTAGGTGTGTATGCACAGGCCAGAAAGATGGAAAGATCAGTAAGAATAATTTACCAGCAGACCTTTGGAAGAATGAAATGGCTTTGCAAAAGTGATATTTTTGCTTCCATTTCAGAATATCCTCTGAGAGAGGAGAACATTTAGTACTTATAAAGCCTTTAAAATAAATACAAAAACATTTGAAAAGAGAAGGGAGTCTTATGTACAATTTCATTTTGGCTAAATCCCCATAATTTCAAAGCAGTTGGTCACCTTGACAGATCAGTAAAATGGGTGAGTGAATTGAAAGCATACATACAACAGTTCCTTGGGGAATTCTGGCTGATTCAATACAATTCACATGGATAGAGTCTGTGGCTCCACATAAACCCAGTTATCAACCTACTGTGTCTTTAGTTTTTCCACTAATAGTTTTCTCCTTTGGAAGTTTATAATGCTCTCAACCTGACTAAAACAAACTTCAGGGTGCCCTTTCACAGCCTGTTCATGGAAGATAATGAAACGTTGCTGAAATCTGTTGCTGTTTGCCTTTTCAATTGGTCTGGCTCTCACAGGAGGCTTTCTCCAGCAAACAGCAGGATGGTGGCTTGTGAACTTCCTCTCAGACATTCTCCAGACAGCCCTCCCTGAATTCCAGCCTTATGAAAATTCTGTTGAGGAAAATGAGTCATTAATAAGCACTTACTGGCAGAGAGATATAGCCACCCTGCTTTTAGATGAGGCCCCTCCTTTGCAGTCGATGAGGCCAGCTCTTTACAAGCTGAAGCAATCATTAAGAGTAATACCCAAGTTATGCTGTACACTGGGGGGCATCTCCATGTGAGTGTAAGATTCTCAAGTCAAAGATAAAAGCCACCAACCAGGTCCCAAGTGAACTGCTCCCATGTGGGTCCTCTCACATTGACTGCCTTCTTTGGAAAATTCACAGAACGTGTTCTCAGAAATTCTGTCCCAGCCTGCCAATGCCCCACAGTCCACAAGCACTTTTTAGTGGGTTATTTCCAAGACTGTATGCTCTGAAGAAAAACTGACTGTAAAAAGTGATTTAGGTGTAATTAAAATGGATACTATTTGCTCTAGCAACTAAAAATGTACTGACATGTGACCGGTTTGTGTACCACTTAGGCTTGTAGTCAAGTGTGGGCATCCACAGGAGACTCATTTAACAGTTCCATGAAGAAATCAGGGTGCTTTAAGAAAGACAAATTTAAGTTGAAACTGTTAGTGAGGAGAGAAATTATGATTCTAAAACATGTTTATTTTGTTTTGTTTGGAGATTGTTTTATTTTTTTGGATGTTTGGGTGATTCAAACTGCAACTTACTGTTATGATCTGTTTTAAGAAGAATGAAATTGACTACAGAAATAAAGATGTCAAGAGTTTTTTCCATTTAAGTTCATGGATTAACAATATATTGCTTATAACAGAGCAATACATCTCCACCCTTTTGAGATAATGTATAAGAGTTCCAATTTTTCGCCAGGCAAGGATTCCTAAAAAAATTTGGATTCTTTTATATTAGCGTGTCTTACTAGCTTTTTCTCCCTTTAAAGTCAAAATGAAAATGCTAATGCTAACACTTTTTTCTAAACATTAAAGAAACTGACTACTATTCTTACTTTATACAGTTAACACCCTGTAGGCATTTTTGTTGGGGGAAAAAAATGACATGGTCTCAGTCTGTGTCCTCAGAGAGCTTACGTTCTAGGACAATCGTGGTAGGTAAGCTCCTACATGCTTTTTCTTTTCACTTCCTGGAGCTCTTGCTGAGAATGCACCTGAAGCTGGGTTTGTGCTTAGTAAGAAAGAGTGCCCTGACTGGTTGTTGATTTCTGCATGAACTCAGGAAGACGAACAGAATGTACACATAGCACATATTTGCAATCCTTAAGTCTAGTTTTTGTCAAGACTGGAACTTTTCTCAGAAAACAACTGTGTANCGAACAGAATGTACACATAGCACATATTTGCAATCCTTAACTCAAGTCTAGTTTTTGTCAAGACTGGAACTTTTCTCAGAAAACAACTGTGTATCTATTAGAATGCTACAGAAATGGAAAGCAAGACTTTGGCCTGTAATACTTGAGAGCAAGCATTAGGATAGTAGAGATAGTAGATGTTCAACTGAGCTTTTTCCAGAGGTGGACTTTATAAGGCTTACTTTGGAATATGACTACACTCTGGGTAAATTAAGTAGAAGATAAATCCTTAACTTTCTAAGAGAGCTAAATAGAGAACTATTTAGTTATAGCCATTGTAGGTCTGCCAAAAATTCTTTTGATTTAGTTGTTTTCCCAGAAAACACATGCAGCTATACATTACTAAATTGCTAAAGTAAGACCATGCTGGAGGCATAAATAAGGATGTTGTCTTTTTATCTGGGAGTAGGGAGATAAAGAAAAAGGGATGCATTTATTTACCTAAAGCTAAGACAGATTATTTAAAGACAAGTGATAAGTAAGGGGTACGAGGGCAGGAGTAGAGCCAACATAAACTTTGATTTTATACTCTTTAAAATAAGAGTTTGCTCCCAAGAAGGCCATGCCTGCCCTTTTAATTCCTCAGATTCAATAAAAATTTCCTGTTTACTGTTGTTATACACTAAGTGCTTTAATACATTATTTCATTTGACTCATTGCAAAATTCACTTTACTGACTGAGAAATGAAGCTCAGGGAAATTTAGGTATCTTGTCCAAGATTACAACATGAGACAGTGTTACTATATTGCACTGCTTCTTTGTGATATTCTTGAAATGAATTGCAAAAAATTTTAGTTGACATCTCACTGATTTTTCTATTGAGAGACATCTTAAGGGTGTGATGATAGAATCATTAGAACCAAAACTTGTACAATCCTTCCATCTTCAGAGGACATCATTATGCATGTCTCAAAAGCCTACAGTGTTACTCTAGAGGGATAGTGCCCAAAATATTAACTTAGTTTTGTCAGAATTGGGGTCTAGTAATCAGAGCAATAGTTACATGGTGCCTGCAGTTTAAAGGTCTTCATCTGGAAACTTGTGTAAATTAGGGGATTCATCAGAATATCCATCATCAAAGAGATTTTGAGATCCAAGCTAGACAGAGTCCTGAGATCTTGAAAGCACATAATAACTATCACATATTTATAATAGATCTGGAAGAAGTGGCATAACATAGCATCAGTGAGTAAAGATACAGTTTAAAGTGCTTATTGAATCTGGTCTATTTTTTAAACTATAATTGTTCCATAAGTGAGAATATGAAGCAACATGCTCTCCAGTTTGTAATTGGTACCTTCTACTTTAATAAATGTTATAATTAGATGTCAGTGGTTCATTAGCCTATAATAATTAGGGAAAGTTGTCTTTGGAGTTGTAGAGAGTTAAGTATCAAAGATGGATTAGAAAGAAACATCAGAGAAACAACCTATTTATTTGGGTGTCTTAATGTAATTTAAAAATGCAAATAATTAGAGAACAAACTGACATCTGTCAGAGGGGAGAGGGTTGAGGGGCTGGGTGAAAAAGGTAAAGGGATTTAAGCAAAATAAATAAATAAATAAACCTCATAAGCATAGACCAGAGGGGATAGGGGGGATAAATGGTGACGAAAGGAGACTTAACTTAGGGTGGCGGACACACAATACAGTATACAGTTGATGTATTTTAGACTCATACAGTTTAAACTTATATAGTTTTATTAATAATGTCACCCCAATAAATTTAATTTTAAAAGTTTGAATTAACATCTGCAGTGAGATTCAACAAGATACTGCCACAATTTAGATACCAGGTTATGCAAAAGTAACATTCAGAATATCTCTTACAGGGTAGTAAGTTGGAGGAAGGGTTCCAAGACGGAGTAGGTGGAAGGCACACTCACCTCTTCCTGTTGGGGGTGGTGAGAACAGCACCAGATGTTAGACCAGGGGAGTCAGACCAGACCTGGGTTCAGCAACCTCAGTACTTGAGTCTACCAAGAAAGAATTCAGAGTCAAGACTCAAACTATAAGAGAACATTTACTTAGAAAATCAAAGAGGTAGAAGAAGTAATTCATAGAAGAAATGAGCTTAGGAAAAAAGTTATAGAGGTAAAGGAAGGGCCCTTAGAGCTTAAAAATGAAGAAGGTAAATGTGACAAGCCTAGGAAGAGGGGAAGGAGGACGGGAGCATCGAGGGCTTGCTCCAGCCCTGGGTCTTCTGTCTTAAGGGTTTTAAGGGTGGAGATTTTAGAGGAAGTCCCAGGGGAAGATCTTAACAGAATATTCAGCAGCTTTACAGGTATGTCCTTTCAGGGTCCAGACCTCCATTGATTGATTGGTCAGTGCCAAGGCATGGGGTCATTATTAAGTGTAGCTTCCCTGAGGCCAGCCCTGTTGCTGCTTGTCTGGTTTTGCTGCTTTTCTGGGCCTGGAGCTGAAATACAACTGAAGCCTAGATGTTATCTCTAGGGAGGAAACATCAGGAGACCCAAACTGCATGACCAGTGATATGCTAGGGAAG